ATGGACCGGTGGACTTTGTGTTCTGGTGCTGCACAGACATGACATTGGAAGAGGTAGGTGGATATTGAGGCCCTCTGATCTTAATAAGAGCTGACCGTACACTGACGTTGTTACCTTATCGATCGAGAGTGGTCATGGCGTGGATGGTGTTGGTCAGTATGATTCATCTATGCCACCACTACTCTACATTTATCCCTATCTTTATATACAAATGTATATTTGTTTCAATCGTGTCTCCACTCTACCTGTTTAGAAACTAGATGTACTATTACTATATTGATGGTCTAAAACTCATTCCGTTCATCTCTGCTTTAAATTCTGAACGAATGATTGAAACCCAGCTATGTTCTACATTTCAGTAGATACAGTTCTGTTCCAGACCCGAAGAAATGCTATGTTTAATACATTTTCACTCATTCAGTCTCTCCAAAAGAGCAAGAATGTGCTTATTTTCGTCAATATGATGAGAATTTCCTGTATAACTTCAAGGCCCATTTCCAGAGCAACGGTAGGGTATTTGATTGATGCTTCACTGCGTTGTAGCACGTTGTGTCGTGAAGACAGCATACAACTTTTGTTCTCCTACCACCTTGATACATCTTTTGGGTATGGTGTTGTTACTGTCGGCGCTTACAAAAAACATGTGTCCTCTGTTTCAGTGGCTCGTATACAATGGAGTACCGGCCACAAATCCCGAAATGGTGCATCTACGACGTCTGAATGCCTCCGAATCACAAACAATGCCTGACAAAAACTAGCCGATTGAGGATCCCCGGTGAATGAGGCTAATCAAGAATGAAGCATTTTATCTGATACACAATGAAGGTGTATCTCAAACATTTGGCTGATGTTTCCGGCATGTAATTTCAAGTTGGGTGTTTTTAGCTGATTGTATTTCTCCACTGTGTGTTTTAATATAATTATATATCACTGTTTATTCTGGGTCACTGATACATGCTTGACGTCTACACAGGTGCGTGCCATGTCGAGTAAACAATGTAAAACCCTCAATCAGCTCGTCTATCAAATCATACAAATGATGTTTTATTTTCTATTTTATTTTTAATATTGTCTATTAATCGTGTCCCATTATTCAGTATCCATATGGATTCAATATATTTTCGTGTACAGAAATCTGTTAAGTAATCTAGTTTGATGCAGACCGCCGCCGTAGTCCAGTGGATAAAGTGTTGGTCGAGGGCGGAAGGTCGGTTGTTCATACCAAAAGTCTTAAAGAGATTTACGAATTTACTGCTTTTGATTGTCAGTAGTGTGTTAGAGGATTAGAAATGACCTTTGAACTGTATCTTAGTGGCGCGATGTATATGAAGCTAGCATTGCCATTGTGTACAAACACACACAGACAAGAGCATGTACCCACACGTCTTTGTGAAAGTGCAATTAGCAAAGATTAACCTTCCCATTCCCAGCCTGAATCCCCACCCACACGATATCTTTGCTATCACTAAACGAAACATTACACAATAAGAATAATATATGTCTGTATCTTCTACATACTACCAATCATCTTGTGATCTTTTGTTAATAATCCGTGTCCATAGTTCATCTGATTACTCAAGTTTTTGTTAATGATTTGTCCGCTCATTGTGCTATTAATATATACTATTCCAAAAAAGAAACGCATAGGCCAGAAATCTGTTGCGAAAATGTTGTATTTTTAAACATATTTAACTCGAATTTTGACATCAGTTTACAAGAAGGAAATATCTATACACACAAGTGGATAATTTTAGATAACGGATACGCTGTGCGCGATGGTGACCACTTAGCCTGGTCCCGACTTCGGGTCCCCTGGCTCTCAGTCCAATCTCTGTCAACCTGTTCCCTACAGTTTGACTGGATATTCTCCGAAGTCCAGGCACCGTGGCTGCTCTGCTCTCACAAGTGGCAGTACGATCACGTAAATGTAGTACCCGGATGTACCGATCTTGGGCTGCAGTGGTGACTCGAGGTCTGCCTGTACGAGAACGGTCATTTGGTATACCTGTTTGGTTGTAACGAGCTGTAAGCCGTGATATCGTGCACAGACTAACATTCAGACGCCTGGCAACAGAAGATTGGTAATCTCCAGCGTGCATTCTTTCAATGGCGTTGTTCCTTGACGCAGCGTGGCTTAGTGATTTGACCTTGAAACTCCTTCAAAACGAATGCCGATTTGTGAAAGTAATCTGGATTTTTATAGACAGACAGCGCTTGCTCGTTGCAGCACAATTTCAAGTAGAATTTTGTTGCGTTGTGGCGATGCGTTTTTAATCCTTGTAAGAAATCTCATCAAAATCAATATTTTCGGGTAAAGTTGATTTTCTTAATTGTGCAATTGCGTACAATCGTGTTATCAACACTTCACTTACATATTTTGCCGACTGCTTGAACAGAATAGGTAATAAGTCGATTTTTGAAAATACGAAACGCCTATGCGCTTTTTCTTTTAGATAGTATAGTAAGAGTCAGAGTGATACGATGTAGCCTAATATTTTTTTTCTGTTTATAGAGAGCTAACAAGCGGTAATAAGATATACTGTATGCAATATAGAAATAAAAATGTTTGCCAGTTTGAATTTTTATTCCCATTATTCATATGGGGTCGCTCTGCTGACCGAGTTCTGAATGTAAACGAAACATGGACTGGACTCACCTTTGGACAACCCAGTTTTCTGGTCAACCATGTTGCGCATGCTCTCAGACTACAAGCTTAGCTTTGAAGCGACATGGGTATAGTGTGGACCATAGACTGCATATCCCCAAGTTAAGCCTTGATGCGACATGGGTATAGTGTGGACCATAGATTGCATCTGCAAGTTAAGCTTTGAAGCGAGAGAGGTATAGTGTGGGCCATAGACTGTATATGCCCAAGTTAAGCCTTGATGCCACATGGGTATAGTGTGGACCATAGATTGCATCTCCAAGTTAAGCTTTGAGGCGAGAGGTGGATAGTGTGGACTATAGATTCCATATCTCCAAGTTAAGATTTAATGCGAGAGAGGTATAATGTGGACCATAGATTGCATATCTCCAAGTTAAGCCTTGATGCGAGAGAGGTATAGGTTGGACCATAGACTTCATATCTCCAAGCTAAGCCTTGAGGCGAGAGATGTATAAGCTGGACCATAGACTGCATATCTCGAAGCTAAGCCTTGAGGCCAGAGAGGTATAGTGTGGACTATAGATTCCATATCTGCAAGTTAAGCTTTGAGGCGAGAAAGGCATAGTGTGAACCATAGACTGCATATCCCCAAGTTAAGCCTTGATGCCACATGGGTATAGTGTGGACCATAGATTGCATCTCCAAGTTAAGCTTTGAGTGAGTGAGTTTAGTTTTACGCCGCTTTCAGCAATATTCCAGCAATATCACCGCGGGGTACATCACAAATGGGCTTCACTCATTGTGCCCACGTGGGGAATTGAACCCGGGTCTTCGGCATGACGAGCGAATGCTTTAACCATCAGCCGTTAAGCTTTGAGGCGAGGGAGGTATAGTGTTGACCATGGACTGCATTGTCTCCAAGTTAAGCTTTGAGGCGAGAGAGGTATAGTGTGGACCATAGACTGCATTGTCTCCAAGCTAAGCCTTGAGGCGAGAGGGATATAGTGTGGACTATAGATTCCATATCTCCAAGTTAAGCCTTGATGCGAGAGAGGTATATTGTTGACCATAGATTGCATATCTCCAAGCTAAGCCTTGATGCAAGAGAGGCATAGTGTGGATCATAGACTGCATTTCTCTAAGCTAAGCCTTGAAACGAGAGGGATATAGTGTGGACCATAGACTGCATATCTCCAAGCTAAGACTCGAAACGAGAGGGATATAGTGTGGACTATAGACTGCATATCTCCAAACTAAGCCTTGAGGCGAGAGGGGTATAGTGTGGATCATAGACTGCATATATCCAAGCTAAGACTTGAAACGAGAGGGATATAGTGTGGACCATAGACTGCATTTCTCCAAGCTAAACCTTGAGGCGAGAGGGGTATAGTATGCACCATAGACTGCATATCTCCAAGCTAAACCTTGAAACGACAGTGATATAGTGAGGACCATAGACTGCATATCACCAAGCTAAGCCTTGAGGCTAGAGGACTATAGTGTGGACCATAGACTGCATATCTCCTAGCTAAGACTTGAAACGATAGGGATATAGTGTGGACCATAGACTGCATATCCCCAAGCTAAGCCTCGAAACGAGAAGGATATAGTGTGAACCATACATATCATGCGAAAGGTTGGTTGGCTGGTTGGTGTGTTGTTTAACCCCGCACTCAGCAATATTCCAGCTATATAGCGGCAGTCTGTAAATAATCGAGTCTAGACCAGAAACGCCAGTGACCAACTGAACATCGTTCTATGCAACTGGGATACGATAACATGTGTCAACCAAATCAGCGAGACTGACAACCCGATCCCGTTTACGACAAGCATGGGTTACTGAAAACCTAGATCTAACGTAGATCTTCACGGTAAGAGGCGAAATGGGCACAGTGTGGACCATATACCGTGCCCCAACACGGCGCTTCTTGTTGAAATTAAATATACATGTATATACACTCTAAACTATATACAGTGAAGAAGCATACTTCTGTATGAGTGAAGACCCGAAAGGGTCACCACTGTTCCCAGTAATATTCGTTTATTTTCAACACTTGCGACAAATACAAGCACACGTGCACCTACAGACATGCATACAAACACACATACATATACGAATGGATACAAACACACACACAACATACAGAAGACACAGGGTAATTCTTCATCACAAAGAGTGAGTTTAGTTTTACGCCACTTTTAGCAATATTCCAGCAATGTCACGGCGGGGGACAACCGAAATGGCTTCACAGATTGTACCCATGTGGGGAATCGAACCCGTATCTTCGGCGTGACGAGCGAACGCTCTAACCACAAGGCTACCTCACCGGCCCTAACAAGGACAAAGTATACATCGAAGTGAAAAACATTTGAATGTAACGTTTTGTGTTTTCAGTGTTGGCGTGGTTAGAAGGTGTGTGTAATGTACATCTCTGTCTTTGTTGGTTATTTTGGGAGTTCTTTAAACATCTAATTAAAGCTTTTAATGTTTTCTATGTGCAGGCAATCAGTGAAAAAATATTCACTGATGTATTAGTTAAGGGTGTTTCTCGTTAATGGACACACTAATATAAGGTGTTTATATTTTAGGTAATTAACAAGCACTTTTGTTTAAAACTGTACAAATAAAAGTTGTATTCACAAATCGTGTTTCTTTACACGCGAGTACAAGGAACAAAGAATTTGTTAATTAATTTACTGATCAGGTAATACATAAGGAATACGAGCTGTACATAGAAGCCGTACCTGGGAGAAAACGTCACCAAGGCTTTCATCACCGCCCCTGCCTCCTTCAAAGACGCCCAGAGAAGAGCAACCAAAGACGCCGGCGCCATTGTTGGGCTGAATGTTCTTTGTCTGTACAACGAGCCTTCAGTATCTTGATTCTCTATAACCAGCTTTTGGTGTTTTCAGAGAAACAAATGTACAGATCAAACTGCTGATAATATGATACCCCATCTTCAATATCCGCCACCCCACTTGCTTATTAGGTGATCAAGACTAACACTTGTCCGACTTCCATTTTTGTGGAAACCGCGATGGCTGAGAGGGTCAGATCGCTGTTTTTGTGTGCTGGCTATTAGGACCTTGACTCTGAGAGTTTGTGTTCGGATCCCGGAAGATACTAAATCCCAAACGTACTAGAACCTGTTCTTAACTGAAACTGATTACTCCCAAATATAACATATGTTACAAGAATCAAGTTGTATAGGGATTGCATCATATAGATGACGGCAACAATGATGGACATGACGCTGATGATGATGATGATGATGATGATGATGATGTGGAGGAGGAAAACGTTATCCTTACATAATCTGTATATTGTAGAACTGCTGCCGCTGTTGCATACGGTCTGGACAAGTCAGCTGGAGAAAAGAACGGCCTGGTCTTTGACTTTGGAACGTTTGACGTGTCAGTCATCACCATCGACAGCGGCGTGTTTGAGGTTGTGGCCACCAATGGAGACACACATATTCGTAAATTGCTGAAACTGCTATGGTCTTGCATATTGCCTTCTTTATTCTTCCCGGAAATGTTTTCAAATACACTAAATGTACTGGAGTAGAACATACCAGTAACACAATGGGTTTACACGGTTCGGATCGATTACTAAGTAATGTATGCTACCATACCATTAATGGTTCTCTTTCTTATTCCATAACTAAATACCACCCCTTTTGAAGAAAGAATGTACACAGCATTTAGTGTCGTATTTGGCTTTTGTTATTACATGTTGTCCATACCTTCTCATGGTGTATTCTTTCCACATTGTGTTTCATAAATTAATGGATCAATTACTTTCATCACTTTTGAAAAAGCAAAAATAATAAAGACCACACAGTGTCGTATAGTACTTATGCTATTACCCGCCTTCCATATATTCTGTCAGGTAGTCAAGACATGGAGATAGAATGATAGAGTATTTTATCAAACAATACAAAAGGAGGCCGGGACAGGACCTACTGGAAGACAGCGGGGCCACCACCAAGGCCTAAGACTTTGTCTTTGCTCCTTTAGAACCTCTCCTATTGATAGTCTATATGTTGAAGCAGATGAGCCTTCTCTTACACAACGTCGTATAAAATTATCTTTACAATACATTACTAAACTATATTCTAGCGAGTCTAACCCTGCATTTAACTGTGTTTTCAATCCCCTCTATGAGGATTTATACAACAAAAAACCTTCTCTTGTTCGGCCTCTTGGGCACAGAATTAAGCCCTTCATATCTGCTGCCGGCATTGAGCTGGAAAATATAGCTCCTTCCCGTCTTCTTTCTTCTCCTCCTTGGCAGTTGGTTAGGCCCCAAGTTGACCTAACTTTGACCACATTTAAAAAATCAGAAACTAATGAATTACAGTATAAACAAGAATTTAGTCAGTTAAGAAATAAATATACTACTTATAAATCCTTATTTACAGATGGATCCAAGGATGGTGGCGCTGTAGCTTGTGCCACTGTCATTGGGTCCAGAACAATATCATCTCGATTGCCTGATAACAGCTCTATTTTCACGGCGGAAGCTAACGCCATATTAACAGCTTTAAAATATATTAACTCACACCGTAAATATAAACAATATATAATCTTTTCTGACTCTCTTTCTTGCCTTCAGGCGATTAGAAATCTTTCTTGCAAACATCCACTTTTATTAGAAATTCTTGAATTGTACAATGAACTTGCTACTGGCCAATGCGACATCGTCTTTTGTTGGTTACCCAGCCACGTTGGCATTTCTGGGAACACACTGGCTGATATTGCTGCTAAGGCAGCACTCAACAAATCTGTGACACCACTTCTTATCCCATGCTCTGATTATAAAGCCAGCATTAGAACATACATCCGCGATCTAATGCAGAAGAAGTGGGACACCCAAGTAGGTATTAATAAATTACATGCAATAAAACCCTACATTGGTTACACCTACTTGGGTTGTCAGTCCAGATTTGAAGAGGTCATTATGCGGCGATGTCGCATTGGCCATACTAGATATACCCATGAATATTTGCTTAAAGGCGAAGATCCTCCGTTTTGCATCCCTTGTGATGAAAGAATCACAGTCAAGCATGTCTTGCTTGACTGCATCGAATATTCCATCACAAGGGATATCTATTTCAAAGTAAACACTATGAAGGATCTTTTTAATAATGTTAGTTCTCATTTAATTATTGCATTTTTAAAAGAATTAGATTTGTTAAGTGATTTGTAAATAGATAAATATTTTATTATTGGTAATTTAAATTAGTAACTGAGATTGTTAGTGGCTGTACCCTCAAAGGGGGTTGAAGTAGCGTAAAATTATTGTCCTCCTGAGAGGGTACGTAAGTCCCAAAACTTTCAAAGTAAAGTATAAATTATCACATTTTAAACGTAGTATTTTTGTTATTTTAACTGTTGGCTAAATTTTCCTATAATCGCCAGCAGCTGAAGGGATGGTGTAAATCCAGCTAGGATCCATGCAGGTAGCAAAAGTAATGTAAGTCCCCATGGCTCCTAGTATGGTGATCTACCTTCAGTTGGTGGCGATCTATAGCCCATTTTTATATTGTGTTGTCCCCTATAGTTAAAATGTTTTAGATTCAATTACTAGTTTTACATATATATCTGTGATACTCTAGTTGCTTTACTGTCCTTTGTCGGCAGGTTTTATGATCTTTATATATATATTATTTCAATGTCAAGTGTTCTCGTCACGATATAGCTGAAATATTGCCGATGTGACGTTAAATAATAACTCACTCACTCACCTTTTTCAATCAACTTTGAATTATGTGCAGTCAGCTTTGGATGAGGCATATTTGAACAGGACGGATATACATGAGATTGTTATGGTCGGAGAATCAAGTGAGATACCCAAGATTCAGCAAATGGTGAAGGGGTTCCTTGATGGGAAGGTTAGTCGACCTCGGGGATATAAGAACTACTTCAGTGTCAGTTAAATTCAATAACATAGCACTGTATTGTGAAATTTAACATTCATGTTCACTGACTTGCAAGACTGGGCGTGCTTTAGCTGTGTTCGATACACAGGTTCAGGATAGGAGAAGAGATACCTGTTTACAGTTAGAGTTGACAGAATTGGGTTGGTAGAATAAAACCTGAAGGTCAAGACCAGTTCCAAGGAGTCTCATCCGTCCGTACACTGGCCATCTAATGTGGTTCAGGTAATGAGTACAGGTAGAGGTATTCCCAGCACTGTTGGGTTGGTGGAAGACAATCTCATCCGACCTTCTCCTGAATATTGAGAACATGATTCACGATGCTGAAGAGGTTGCTGATGAAGACAAGGAGATGATGGAGAAGAGCTCAAAGCTGGGGATAAATGGACGAACAGGAAGTCTGTGAGAAGAAAACCCATCATACCAGGTAACCCGGAGAACATTTCCCGTGACGAGCTCTGAGGGAGGAGCTGGAACACGAAGATGAAAGGCCATCAGATGAAACAGTGATGCTGGAAACTAGAGGTGCACTAGTGCTGTGAGGAAGGACACATTTCATCTTATAATACCAGACAACACTGACATCATTATTGAAATATTATTGATTGGGGGTGCTAACCACAGAGAACTGGTAGAGTCAGACTGAGTATGTGTGGTCGTAACTGCTTGTTGGTATATGTGTCTGTGTTTGTATGAGTATCTGTGTTATGCGTGTCTGCTTTTGTGTGCGTTTCTACACACTACATGTAGTGTGTGTGTGTGTGTGCATTCGTGCGTGCTTCTACAGATATGATACCAATATATATACATGTTGTATATGAGAAATACCAGGGCCATGCTTAATTATGTCGATGAGTATGATGGGTTCAAACACTAAACCTTACACCACGCATGAATGAAGTAATGAAAGAATGAAACAATGATTGAAATAATAAGTAAAAGTAGTGAATGAAGTAATGAATGAAGGAATGAAGTAATGCGTGAATGGATGAATGGCTGAATGAAGGAATGAATGAAGTAATGAATGAAGTAATGAATGAAGGAATGAATGAAGGAATGAAGTAATGAATGAAGGAATGAAGTAAATGAATGAAGGGATAGAGTAATGAAAAAAGGAATGAAGGAAATGAAGTAATGAATGAAGGAATGAAGTAATGAGTGAAGTAATGAATGAAGTAATGAATGAAGTAATGAATGAAGGAATGAAGTAATAAATGAAGGAATGAAGTAATGAATGAAGGAGTGAAGTAATGAATGAATGAATGAAGTAATGAATGAAGAATGAAGGGAATAAAGTAATGAATGAAGGAATGAAGTAATGAATGAAGGAATGAAGTAATGAATGAAGGAATGAATGAAGGAATGAAGAAAAAGTAATGAATGACGTCATGGTGAGGTAAGGAAAGAATGACGTAATGAAATAAAAAGTAATTTGTGGGGTCATATCCGTTAACGTGAGGTCATATCCGTT